GGGGCTGTCTGCTCTGGGCGGGGCTGTCCCTGGGCGGGGCCGTCTGCTCTGGCGGGGCCGTCCCTGGGCGGGACCGTCTGCTCTGGGCGGGGCTGTCCCTGGGCGGGTGGGCGGGGCCATCCCTGGGCGGGACCGTCTGCTCTGGGCGGGGCTGTCCGCTCTGGGCGGGTAGGCGGGGCCGTCTGCTCTGGGCGGGGCCGTCCCTGGGCGGGACCGTCTGCTCTGGGCGGGGCCGTCCCTGGGCGGGTGGGCGGGGCTGTCCCTGGGCGGGGCCGTCTGCCCTGGGCGGGGCCGTCCCTGGGCGGGGCTGTCTGCTCTGGGCAGGGCTGTCCCTGGGCGGGGCTGTCTGCTCTGGGCGGGGCCGTCCCTGGGCGGGACCGTCTGCTCTGGGCGGGGCTGTCCCTGGGCGGGGCTGTCTGCTCTGGGCGGGGCCGTCCCTGGGCGGGACCGTCTGCTCTGGGCGGGGCTGTCCCTGGGCGGGGCCGTCTGCTCTGGGCGGGGCCGTCCCTGGGCGGGTGGGCGGGGCCGTCCGCCCTGGGCGCTCCTGGGAGGGTCTTCAGAATCCTCTGGAGCTGCAACCCCAGGAAGGCGGTGGTTGAAAGACAGGCGTAGCGGGCGGGGCGCAGGGGGCCCTCGGTTCCGCCTGTTAGGAGGCGGACCCAGCGCAGTGGCGGCCCCAGAACGCTGTGAGTGAGGACGGCCCCGAATCTGGTGGGAATGGTGGGTGCTGGTGCCCGCCGCCCCGGCTGAGGCCCTGCGGCCACCGTGCCCGCGGAGCCCTCACTCTGGGCAGACCCGCCCTCGGGAGCGTCCCGGCCGGCAGAGGACGCTGGCTGCCGTAGGCGCAGGGGGACGGGTGGAGGGTGCGCTGGGCAGACGGCGACGTCCACCCGCCAGCCCGGCCGCGGGGCCCTCCCTCGGGGGAAGCTGGGCCGGCGCCGCACAAACCTGCCCGAGGGCACCTCCGCAGGTGAACCCGTTCAAAAGAACATTTTAATGAAGCAGAAATCTCAGTGAACTTTTACTTTTTTTAAATTTTTTAAAAATTTTTTGAGACAAGAGTCTCATTCTGTTGCCCAGCTAGAGTGCCCTGGCGTCAGCCTAGCTCACAGCAACCTCAAACTCCTGGGTTCAGGCGATCCTCCTGACTCAGCCTCCCGAGTAACTGGGATCATCACGTGCCACCACGCCCGGCTAATTTTTTTTAAATATATATTTTTAGGTGGCCAATTAATTTCTTTCTATTTATAGTAGAGACAGCGTCTCGCTGTTGCTCAGGCTGTTTTCGCACTCCTGACCTTGATCGATCCACCCGCCTCAGCCTCCCAGGGTGCTGGGATTACAGGTGTTGGTGAACTTTTTAAATGGGAAAGCATACATGATTTTTAGGGCAGCCTGTTAAGCTAGAGTTGCCAGATTTTGCTTGAGCTGCCGGAAGAGAGGCGGGGTGGGAGCTGAGAGAACGACACTGGGCCGTCTGGGGTAGAATTTTGGTTAAAGCACCGAAGTGCTGGGTGGCTCCTGGCTGTGCCGGACGTGTGACAGCCGTGCTCAGCACTTCTGCCAGAAGTGCACTTCTGCTCAGGACGTCTGCCAGACATCCATTGCACCGACTCAGATTTGATGATTTTATTTTTGAGACAGAAGCGGAGTCGGGGTGAGGGTGAGGAAGTCTGGGGCCTTTTCCTCTTAAACTGTGCGGGGCTTTCCTGGGAAGATGGCTGTAGCCCTCGCAAACGTGTGGGAAGCAATCCACGGCAAATTTGGGTTATTTTCCTGTGATGGAGCCACTGAAACCATCTGAGCTACGCCTGGGCTGGGGAATCCGACAAGGCCCACACACCTCGAAGGTCAGGCTCCTCCCAGGGGCCACGGGGGAGGGAGTTGGGGTCCCAGAGCGGACTTGGGGTCTTGGAAGAACGTGGCCCAGGCCTGCAGTGTGGGAACCAGGGGCCATGTGTCACAGAAGAAGCCAGTTCCCTTCTGTGTCCTGGGAGTCCGAGCAAGCTCACTATGAAGTGCTCCGTTGATAGTAGCTGTAATAATTATTACCAATAAAATAACCTGTTAAAAATGACTTGAGAATTAGGTCAAGCGTCTGAAACCCGGTCACCGGACTCCCCGTCACCCCAGCCCTCCCAGCAGACTTGGAGGACAGCACCAATGCCCCCAACGTGGATCTCATCGCACGCCCACGGCCGTGGGATCCACACGGCACAGGGTCTGCCTGTTCCCCTCACGGCGTGGTGGAAGCCGCGTTTCTCCGTGTTTCTCCCCGTGGTCTGGACCGTGCCTGTGTAAGGTCCATTTCCGTCGTCCTCCTTTGTCCCTGTCCTGTGTTTACAAAAGGGCTGGAGGCTCTGTGCTTGGCGCTCGCTGCGGCTCCTGTAACGGTGACGCCAGTCGCATCCCCGCATGGTGCTGGTGACTAATCAGTGGAGTCACTGTGGGGTGCAGAGACAGGGTCAGCGACACAGGGGAAGGGGAGGAGCCACTGACATCCCAGAGACGTGGACGGAGACGGAATGAAAGGAAACCAGTGGACATTTCTCCTGAAGCAGCTCAGCATCTTCCCCCAGCCTAACGGTGACAAACGTCCACACTTAGTCCCACGCGCCCTCTCCTTGGCCACAGAACTAGAAGGCGGCAGGGGGTGCAGCTGATGCTCGGATGGGCCTGGACGAGCGTCCGATGTGCGGGGCACTGGGCTTCACACTGCAGAGGCCCTCGTTGCTAAATTCCAAAGCTATCGTCACATTCTTCCTTCACGTTTTCATTATGTTTTCGTTAGTTGATTGAAACGACCCTCCTTCTAAAACGAGTCAAATTAGAACTGAGTTTACTCTCTGCATGAGGGATCCCGGGGTACCCCCACGGGGCTCCACCAGCGCCGGCCCCTCTGTGGTTGAGGTTGAGCCAGCAGCGGACTGTTGGAGGTGAGCCTCTTTGCTAGACTTCGATTCATGCTCGAGCCCTGGTGGGTGTCGTGGATGCTGCGTGTGAAGGGCTCACGAGCCCAGGAGAAAACAGGTTCCCACGGGAGGCAGACGTGTTCGCACAGCTGGTGGTTGCCAGGACGCGGGTGGGACGGGCTAGTTGCCTTGTCACCCTGGTCAGCAGCGGGACTGTGGGGTCTCCCCATGCTCGCATGTGTTGTGCCTCCACCGCCAGCGTCTGAACACGAGTCCAGGACGGCTCTCAGAGAAGCCTTCCTGATACAGGAGGCGCCTGTGCTGACGTGTGTGTGCTGGAACATTCCGTCCTTGAGGACCTGTGGCTGGGCTGTTGGGGGCTGCTCTCGCGGGGAGGCCTGGCTCTGACACTCCAGAGCTGTGGGGCAGTGGCAGTGGGGCGTCTCCCATCACTGCCCACACCCCACTGCTGTCCCGTTTAAGAAAAATAAGTGGGGAAGGGGCATTGGCGCTGGTTCCATCAGCAGTCAGTCCACCTTCTCCTGGGTGTGGCTTCTGGAATCCTTAAAGCTCCACCAGGAGGATGGCCACACGCCGTGGTTTGCCCACAGCATACTTGCCAATAAGTGATCCTTTCCCTCTGGGGTCTCTTGGTCTGCATTAACAAGTTCTGTGGTCATCCCACCTCACAGACATTCAGCACGGTGGCCAGAGTTATTCAGAAAATGAGTATTTGTAGGATGTCTTTTTTCCTTTTGGGTAGATGCCCAGTAATGGGATTGCTGGATCACATGGTAGTTCTAATTGTAGCTCTTTGCAGTGTCTCCATATTACTTTCCACAGAGGTTGTACTAGTTGCAGTCCCACCAGCAATGTATGAGTGTTCTTATCTCATTGCATCCACACCAACATTTATTGTTTTAGGACTTTTTGATAAACACCATTCTCACTGCACTTAAGCGATATCACATTGTAGTTTTGATTTGTATTTCCCTGATGATTACAGATGTCGAACATTTTTTCATATGTTTGTTGGCCATTAGTCTATCTTTTGAAGATAGAAGTTTTTGTTCATGTCCTTTGCCCACTTTTTGATGGAATTGTTTGATTTTTCTTGCTGATTTTTCTGAATTATATATAGATTCTACTTAGCATCCCTTTACTGAATATGGTAGCATGTGAATATTTTCTCCCATTCTGTAGGTTGTCTGCTTGCTCTTGCGATAGTTTCCTTGGCTCTGAAGAAGCTTTTTGATTTGATCAGGTTCCATTTATTTATTTTTGTTGTTGCTGTGATTGCCTTTGGGGTGTTCTTGATAAATTCTTTGCCTAGGCCAATGTCTATAAGAGTTTTCCCAACATTTTCTCCCAGAATTCTTATAGTTTCACACCTTGGGTTTAAATCTGTTGTCCATCGTGAGTTGATTTTTGTGAGAGATGAGTAGTGCGGATGCTGGTTCAGTCTTCTACTGAACCATTGGATATGGCTATCCAATTTTCCCAGTACCAATTTATTGACTAAGCATTCTTTTCCCCAGTGTATGTTTTTGTCTGCTTTGTGAAAGATTAGAGGGCTATATGAAGATGGTTTTATATC